CGCCCCATCACCCAGAATGAAAGTAATTTCTTCAGTAATTCTCTTGCATACGTGTGGGCTTCAAACTGGGTAGTTTCCCGCTTTCAACAAGGAAATTTGAGGAGAATGTGTGGCTAACTCTCCATGGAATCCAAAACACTGCCTAGTTTCAGTCCCAGGCTGGATGAAGAGCTGTACCCCCTTTTAAGGCCATGCAAGTACATTTCCCTTTCACATCTTCCAGTTTTCCCCAGTATGAAGGTTAAGGGGGAAAGGGAGCAGGGCCTGCATATGAGCCCCGTTCTCTGCTAAGTTTGAAGACCTCATGTGTTTAGGCAAGCACAATGAGAGTATTAAGGGAATTTTTAAGCATTTAATCTGAGCTTTAGTTTTCAGAGGCAAGGGAAATATTCTACCATCAACATGCACTCAAATATTTAGTAAAGCTTACTGGAATGGATGATTTCTAATATGTTGCTTGAGAAACATTAACACTTGTTTACTATTTCATCCGGTTTCTACTGAGCTGTGCATCCTAAATCTGTTCAAAGAGAACTATCAACTTTAGTAGAAAGCTACACATGAAAACATTTGATTTATTTAGCTCAGAATTATGGGGATTGAATTTGTTCCTTTGTGTGAGCTGGGTATGTTCTCTGTCCATTATGAGCTTTCCCCTTGGTTAAGATACTTGTTTCAGACCATTTCTATGAGGAGCTATGGTTGCATACAAAACTATAGGTACACCTTGTTAGATTGTATGCTGGCATAATTTGTTCATGGTACAAAATTAAACATGACATTTTCCTACAAATTTGAATGCACAGTTACTGCTGAGATGCTGTTGTTTTCAGATTCAAGAATGCAGTAAATATGGCAGGTGCTGAAATTTGGACTCCCAGTTGATTCATTTGTGAAGTTATTAATAAGACCCCAGAAAGTGATTGATTCATTAGGGCTACAATTAGCCAGACGAAGAAAAATTCACAGGGGAATAAATGTTCTGATCCTTCCAACCTTTCAGATTGTGATTGTTGTTCTGTTTACTTTCAACAACCATTGGCTCCTCTAAGCCTTTGGCTCATCATTTGGAAATAAAGATAATTCACCTTTACAAAACAGGGGAAGGCCTTAAAACATTCTCTAAATGTTTCCACCTAGTAGTTTCAACTATAAGAAATATGGTTAAGAAATGGAAGTTACATGGAAGTCAGGGCAAGATTCAGAAAACTAAAAGAAATCTCTGCTAGAACTCCCTGAAAACTGATCAGATATGCAATGACAGAATCCACAGATCGCCACAAATGACTTGCTGGGAAGTTTAGCTGACAGTGGAGTAAATGACCACGGGTCCGCAGTGCAGTGTTCCTTTTACAAAAATGATTTGCATTGAAGAATTGTCAGAAGGAAACCTTTTCTCTGACCTCATCACAGAACTCCAGAACAAAAATAGAAAGACCCTCAGCTGGCCACAGGAAATTCTTATTTCTGTCCAAATGGGGTATTACAAAAACCTGACAGAAGGGATGCTCAACTTTTGCTCCTGCCATATTACCCCCCCCAACCCACACCCCCTCCCTCCCTTTTCTTTTTGAACCTGTAAATAACTGCACATAAATACTCATGTTAAGTATGCATTCAAATTTGCAGAAATATATTTAACTTTGTACTTTAATTTTGTAAATATATTTAATTTTGCTTAGCTACCATAATTGGGACCGGCAACACTGTTGCTAAGCACTGTGATCGTTAAACGAGATATCACATGACTGCAACTTGCAATTTCACTTCCACGTTCTCCATTAATTCTGCTTTTTGGAAGCTAGTTGTGAAGCTTGCAAATGGTGATCACGTGACCATGGGATGCTGTGACAGTTGTAAATGCACACCAGTTGCGAAGTGTCCAAATGGCAATCATGTGATTGTGGGATACTGTGACGGTTGCACATGCGAGGATTGGTTGCAAAGCTGGTGTTTTTCAACTGTCGTAACTTTGAATGGTCGCTAAATGAGGCAGTTGGTAAGCAAGGACTACCTGTATCATGTACGGTTTGCTTTGCTTTTGTTTACTTTGGGATTCACAGAAACACACAGTGTGACCAAGAGTGCCTAAACTTTATATGCAACTGTACTTCTGTAAGAGGAACAATCAATTTTATGAGCCCTACCTGAAGATATGAAGGATTTGGGCCCTATCACATTCTTTTTAGAGCTATTGGGTCAAAACTTTTTTTTCCCTCTCTCTATGGGGCTAACAGTTGTTCTGAGGAGCAAATCCTTTTTATTGTACAGGGTCACATAATTCATTTGATAAACTTTAAAAAAAGGAATAGGGAGGAAGGTCCCAAGATTTTTAAAATGATTCTAGGTTTTTAGTAAAGAGGTTTGAAGAACTTTAAAGTTTCACCCATGTTAGTTTGTTTGTTTGTTTGTTTTGATTGCATTAATAAAGATATCACCCAGCTTTTTTTTTTTTACAGGATTTTGAACATTAGTACTGTATTGCTCCATTGTGATTCTGAAAAGAGTTGTAGCTAGAAGGGTTCTGTAGTGTATCTCTTTGCTTCATCTTGCATGGTTTGAATCTTTGCATAACATTTCTAGCACTATTACTATAAAAGAGCTCTTTTATAGCAATGCACAGTCATGTGTGCAAGTCAAGGCACTCTGTAGATTGCCTTATAAAGTATTTCCTAACATAATTTGGGTTTATGTTATGCTTATAAGAGCTCAAGGCAAAGTATGGATGAAGTATAGAAGTTTTTTTTTAGATTATTTTTTTAAATGAAAGAAGTAAGAACAAAAGGTGGAGATTTATGTCAGAAGCCACTGAAATATATGACTTTAAAAACCAGTGTGCAATTTTTAAGCTAAGCACATCAGCTTAGAAAAATTAAACATAGCCATTTTCTTGACTTCCAGTACACAGAATAACTTCTTCTCTGATTCCTTTCTCACTATCATCAGCACTTACTACTTCCCAGTTCATAATGTACTTGTACAGCAACTGTCCCAGCTCACTTCTGTAATGTTACCAAATTGCCTTGATCACTCCAGTCAGTAGTGATATAGGTGTCATAAGCTCCTACCTTTGGAACTTTGGTAAGATTTTCTCTCCATTTAAGTGACCTTCTACTAGAAATATAGCTGCACTCATTCTGTGACTGATCCTTATTCTACAATGTGGCTCCATGTTCTCAGTCTTACCTGTAGTAATTACCATATCACCTCTCCCCCTCCACTAATTGCAGTTCAGCCTAGGCTGTTATCCATCTGTGTACTCACTTATATAAAAGAATCCATATATATGATTGCATATTTTTACAAAATTGTTTATTTTTACAGCATGTGATGGCATAGGCACGGGAAGTTTGATGTATGCTCAAACTGTAGATTCCAGTAACATTGATAAATTTATCAACTGCACCAAGATCAATGGGAACCTGATCTTCCTTGTCACTGGAATTCGTGGGTGAGTGCAAAATATGACATGTAACACCAAAGTTAAAACAAAAAACTATGCAGCATTTCTGCCATTCAATGCTGAGATGAAATATTAGGCTAACTTTGTTTCTCCTGGATTCTGGTGAAGTTCCATATCTAGGAGGAGCCATGTAGTGGGTTCATCCCAGCATATCCCAAATTTTAACCATAGAAGTTGATAAGGTATCATCAAAAGGAAACTTTTGACTACCACACCTTGGCATTAAAATAAAGATGCCTCACACGACTGTCATTATTCTGGGTTCTACTGTGGATTTTAAGAGAAGATTGATCAAAACTCTTTCAAAGATTTTGAGCTCAGTTTGAATGAGTCAGTGCTGCTGGAAGAAATGTGCTGACCAGTTTCAAGGAAAGCAGAGAGCCAATCAGAGGCATAGGGAAATGACTACATTTTGAAAACTGAACTGATACCCATTAGAATAAAAGTAAGCTTTAGAATGGGGGCACTGCCTTATGCCAGGCCAGGCAGTTTATCCATTAAATTAAAGATTGTTTGCTAAGATTAGCAAAAAGGTCTTTTACATCAGTCATATACAAGAATTGAAATCGGAACCACCATCCATCCATCTGCCTGTCTGTATGTCTGTCTACTTACCTACCTACCTACTATACCTACCTACCTACCTACAGTATCTACCTAATCTATACGTGGCACAGTCACCCAGACTCTCAGTGGCTCGCAGTAACTAAGACCATAAACAAGCCATTCCAATTAAAACATCCATGACAAAGAAACCCCACGAAACCATGAAAACCTTAACAACCATAGGTTATGGCATGTATTTTCTTGTAATACTATTTAAAGCAAAATTTACTGAGTTTACGGAGTTCACCTCAAGGCTGCAGGAACATGAGTATTATCCAAAAGAAAAGTGCACATTTACTGTACATCATCAGCATAAAAATTGGGCTACATCATGCTTGAGTTTTTGAAGATACTAATTTTAAGGATAATTTTGATGGCAAACAGGCCTTGATATTTCTATATTTGGAGAAAGAATGTGTGAATATTGGATGACTTATATAAATTTATATAAACTTATATAAACTTATATAAATCTCCTCGCTTAAAAAGTGGTATTTCATGTTGAAAACATTTATCCGAAAAAAGTGAATACTGCATGTTAACATGTATGCTGGATTTCCTCAGTTAATACTTTCTGCATATCATCCTGCATCAGGGACCAAGAATCTTTTCAGGAGCTGAAAATAAATAACTTTATTTTAATTAGCTGAAATATCATGAGATCACATTTTAAAAGGCTTCAGTGGTTTGATTGTAGGATTAGAAATGATAATGTTGTGCCATGAGATTTTCGTTATTGTAATTTATATCTGGGGAAATTATAAGTACTTTGGTACTCACTGGCTAAAATGTTGATGACCATTACTTTAGTCAACGTCCCAGAGACTAAGCATCTTAGGACTGGCATGAATGGCACGAGGATACTGTAAGTTGTCTTTATTCAGTTTAATTCATTGCAGTAATTTTGTACATCATTTTTCTCTTCCTCTCTTTCTGGATCAGTAATGCACTTTACTGAAATTTAGCATCCTATGTTGCTATACATAGGATGCTAAATTTAGAAACAAAAGGTGCAGATTTTGCCCTTTAAAATACGGTAATTTTGTTCTACCCATAAAGTAGAAGAACTTTGTTTCAGCTCATATCAGTAATCACAACTCATTTGTTATCTATTTTCCAACAAAGTCCTAAGATGACTGTAGCTATTCTCAGGGATTTCTAATGTTACCTATGCCATGGGCTTAGGTAACCCTAAGCAAAATCACATAATGTTTGCTGTTTTAATCATATTTAATTAGTATGGACACTGGATTAGTATAGCTCAGGCCCAGAAATTCACAAGACAGGAAAAGACATGAAAAAGTAAGACTGCAGCAAAACATTTTTGCATGGTGCCTTACATTATATTTGGAAATTAAAACAATTGAATAGGTTTTCAAATGAATCAGTTCCATTTCAGTCATGCAGTTTGCTGGGTGACTGAAAATCAGAGTCTGTCTATTGACAAACCATAATTTGAGTTCCTAATACATGGAGTGTCTTTATTAAGAAATACAAACTTTGAACTTTACATGCTTGCTTTAAAGCATGTTTTCCTTCCAGATGGCAGTCCTTTCTCAGCAAACTTACACTGAACAAAAACAACATTAAAAATGCAATCTGGATGAAACTGGTTCCATGAAACAGATTCTAAATTGTGAGTGGGAAACCTAAATAATTTTCATTGTGTAATATTTGATTTTAAACACTTGATTTTATTATGAATATTCTATTGCACTCCTTTCAACCTCAGAATAAAACCTGGAAATGATCCCATTTCTCAACTGTGTTCCTGAATTCTTAATGTTAGTTTCTAAGTCATTTTTCCCAGTCTGTCTCCTACACTTATTTTAGGTATTTATAGAGATACACAATTAAATGCATCTCAAATTTTCTTATATATGTTATTTTTCTGTGAATGAAGAATGGCAAAGGTCTCCTTCCAAATGCCAGGGTAGAATGGGGATATTTATTTCAATGCTTTTCTTGTTGAGATACTTATTGTAGTGAAATGTTAAAAAAATAATCTAGTCACCTTTTTTTGAGCAGCTTTCTACAGCTGTCATATCTGGGCTACAAGCTGAAGATGACCACCAGATACAGAATATAATAACCGACAGAGTTTTATAGCTATATATATAACTGGAGATTTGTAGTGTAGATGTTGGTAGCTCTATTTTAGCCATTCATTCATTCATTCATTCATTCATTCATTCATTCATTCATTCCATTAATCTATATTGTCTTCTCATCAGACTTTTATCTCAAGGGCTGCTGAAAGAAATTTGAATTCCTGAAGTATTCAAAACATTACCTGTGCATAATGGTTACGTGAAAGATATTCAGATCCAAATAAGTGGACTGCTTTCAACATTAAGATACTTACTTCAATTCTTTGTCTCCAAATTCTTCCTTGGGTTTGAATTCTAGATTACCTGATATACTTCCTGGATTAATTCTGCTCTACTGTTTCCCAAGTGTATTTTCACCCTCTCTTTCTTACCTTGCACCTCTCCTTGAATCTCAACCTTCAGCCCTCTCCACCACCACCACCCACCCACCCACCCACCCACTTTCTAGTATTTGATGCCAGCAGCACTGAGAGGACTACATTTCCCCTCTTCTAGTACCAGCAGCAAACAAGACCCAGGTGACTTGCTGAATTTAGAGATTAATTCCCCTCTTTTTTCCCTCCTGTCACCTTCATCCATGAAGCTGCAGAGGAGGCTGGTTAGAAGTGGAGATAGGGGTTGATCTCTTGCTTGGAAATCAGGGGTGATAGCATTACAATCCAAACCTAGTAGCAACTCAGTTTTAAAAATGTTAAACATGAAAGTTCACAGATTTTAAGGAAAAGAAAAGCAAGCTTGGTGTCATTTCTATTTTGTTTAGACACGTACAACTGGCATGTATATACTTCCAAAAATGTCAGTTTATATGTCTATTCTTTACTGGCCATCAAGACAGGGTAGCACATAAACACATTGTTGAAATTATGAAGTCTATGCATGCCTGCACATAAGAATCTTGATGTAATTTTATTAAGATTTTAGCCCTGACTGAATCAATGTACCCAGCTGCTAGGGGACACTTATTGGTTTCAGCAGGTATTTAAGAGCAAATTAATTAAATATATCTTTACATGCATTCATTTAAATAAAAATTATTAAAACCACTTGCAGTTTTCAGCATGCTGCAAAAATAGGTTGACTTTTTTTCTAATCAGAAATATTTAACAAATAAGAATTAAACTTTGTGGAACAATACTAAGAGAAACATAAGATTGATTTAAGCTATTCAAAATGTAAATAAAATATAATAACCATGAACATAAATTCTGGCTTCTCAAATAAGCTGTGGTATTTTATGTTCTTTATTAACTCTAATAGATGGAAACATGAGCAGCAAATCCAGTGCTGGCAAGAACAGCATTCATTCTGCCAAGACTCTATAATACACCATTTAGAAACGTAAGATGAACATGATGCCCATATAACCAATTTTAATCTGAGTTGGAAAACAATTCTCATGCTTTTCTGCTCTCCTTCATTCTCTTTCCTCCCACAAAGACAGTTTAAGTCAGCTACTTTTACCACATCATCCACTTATATAAATGCTACCATTCTGATAGGAGAGGACAAAGAAGAAAGGAAGATTTATTCTCTCCCCTGTTCACTAGAATCAAGTATGCATGGAAAACATAATTGTGTGAAGGATTACTGACCCCTGCTATATCCTTTTGGAAGACTGCATTTCCCAGCTATATCTATAACTGGAATATTGGGAGGGCAACTTCTTTTTGCTGCCAGTGGAGCCAGGGACCTCAGTGGATTGGAGGCTTGTGAGCTGCTGAAAGATCTTGGAGACTCACGCAGATTCAGACAGCATTTGGCACCTGCAATTTAAGGTGTGATGGGATTCATAGTAGTTTAAATTGGCAGAGCACTTTCTTCCTGATTAGGAGAGGTAAAGATAAAGATGCCACACAAAATTTGGTGTGAAGCCATCGGCATAATTCCATACTCAAATTACCACAATGTGTCATTCCTATCTTCCAGGGACCCATATCACACAATTGAAGCGATTGACCCGCAGAATTTACATGTCTTCCAAACAGTGAGAGAGATAACAGGTAACCTACATAATTTGAGCAGTCTATGCAGTTGTTTGCTCCCCTTTGTAATGCATGCTTTAAAAAGCTAATATAGCACCATGATGAGAGCATGAAGAAATTCTTGACATATTTTCATTCTTGGCCATGAATTCACAAGATGGCCCTGATAAACGACTGAGCTTTTGGTTCAGTTCTTTCCTCAATTTTTCAATACAGAGATAATACTGTATGCTAATCATTATGTATTGCTAAGTGAAGTGATATATTTGCTTTAGCATTTTAAATCACTATATAAATACAAAATATTAGTATTAATATGACTACTGTCTTCCTTAAATGCAAGGAACCTTCTGAATTTTTAGGATACTGACTATGAACACTTAAGTTTATCACTGTGAAAGATTAATCTGTACCAGTTTATCAGGCTTCAGTAGTTACACCGTTTACCTTACTTAAGATAATTATTTCAACTTAAGATGTGGTCTTTAATATGCATATAAAATTATGTGGCAACTCCTGGCATCATTTTTTAGTTATACTGGTCCATGAGAAGGAAAAAAAATCTAAAGTTATTAAAGAGCTCACACAGAATGGTCAGTCCCCAACTGAATGTTCAGGAAATTGCTCTGGCTTCTATTTGGCACAATAGAAAGGGAAAAAGGCTGAACTATGTTTTTGTGTGTGTGTTAGTGTTATATATATGGAAATTGTGCAGTTAATCCTGTGGACAATGGCTAGTTGTTGAAGGACCTGTGGGTATTTTCCAGGCCTTTTTCTGATACCTCTTTTATTTGTATATATTTATTTAACTGACCATTGAACTATATTTCAAATCTGCCCTGCCATATCAATTCTGAAGTGATTTGAAAGTCAGATTCCTTACCATAGCAATGTGGATTTATCTTGATTTTTGTGACTTGCAGTCAAGATAGCCTCTATAGCCATTATGGCAGTTTCAATTTTATTAATAGAGGTGAGATAAGATTTTTCATACTAGTTTAGCTGGGTTAGCATATCTAGTCTGCAAAACTCTGGGTAATCACTAGGTGTTTGAAATGGTGCCATTAGACGATCCTAGTTTTAGCATTTAATCTGGTGCTGCAAAAATAGCCTTATGACAAGTTGCAAAGTATTAAGTGATGTTTGGAAATTACATCACTTAATACTTTGCAACATGTCATAAAACTATTTTTATTTTATAGCACTTAGTTTTATACTAGCTGAAAATGTTCAAGGTTTTTAGAAATATTTATTGAACAAAATGGCTAATAACCCAGAAGGATAAAAAGGCTTGGGGGGAGGGGGGGAGAAATGGTTGGACTTGAAGTTATATTTGTTACAGTTCATGTTCTTAGATGAACTAAGAGAGCATCTTCAGACATGAGAACTGGGATTTATGAGGTACAGGGTATGGCTGCACTTTGGGGATGTATTATGAAAAACAAGCAATGCTGGGCAGAAGAATTCTAAGGGTGGTTGAAGCGCCGGTTGTGTGATTTCCAGGGCCATAGGTGTGCACACATGCACGTGGTTGGGAATTGGGATTACGTTTAAAACATCAGCTCCAGGCTGGTATAATCCAAGGGTCCAACTCTTGAGTTTCTCCAGAGAATGAGAGGACTAAGGCTGTCTGTACCCCATCACCATTCCAGACCAGATCTAGAATATCCTGTTTTGGGAATTATCTCCCAACTCCAGAGGTGAGGGGTGGGAATTCTTCTGAATTATCCTATTCCATCTCAAGCTCTGGAGTTCATCCAAATCTGATGCTCAGTCCTATCTTCACACTTCAGTTACTACTTCATGTTTCAATTAAAAATTCTTATTTATTTATTAAAGCTTAAGCCATAATACTTATATTAGTCTTTATAAGGTTCAGGACCTTTATTGTTATTTTGTTTTGTTTGATGTTTTTTGGAATAGTTATTTTTCAAACGACTGTTTCCACCATGGGGAACATTTCAGAGAATAACACTGCTCTAAATGTACAGGTTGGGCAGCCCCAATGTTCTCTGCTCTTAATAACACAGATAGTTTTCAAGTATGAAATACTGCCGTAATTGCAGCAAGCACATTTTCTAAAATGTCTGATTTCATCTTCCCTAGGATTCCTGAATATACAATCCTGGCCTGAAAATATGACAGATTTTAGTGTGTTTTCAAATCTGGTAACTATTGGTGGAAGAGCATTATACAGGTAATATATATATATGTGTGTGTGTGTGTATTTCCATTCTTTAGTACTCTCATTTTTAAAAAGTGTTTACAAATTATAATTTACTAGAATAGTATTGAGTTTTCTGATTTAAACTTTTGGTTACATAACTGATCCTTTGATATTAGGCTACCCTAAACAGGGGCCTGGATTTTTCCTCAATTGTAACATAGGGAAAAACTACACTTGAATGTATTTCTATCCTTGACTCCTTCTATTCCATTTATACTCCTTTTTGGTACCTTTCATTGCTTGTCATGTTAATCACATTTAGTGATTACTTGATTATGGGTTTTATAACTGAGGTATCATTTATTTATTTATTTGTAGCAATTTCAGAAATGGCAGCTTTGAGCAGTTGTATGCATACTCCCTAAATAATTGATTAATCATGGTGTTGCTAAAGACTGAAAGGGGAGGCATGTAATGGCGAACTCCATTCCCCAAACCAATTTCTATTGGTTCCCATAATTCCTGGTTCTTCCCAAAACTGCAATTCAGGTCTAACCTCTCTTCCTCCTTCTTTCCCCATCACATCTTTCCCAAATGAACTGATCTTCTTCTGGTGAAGGAGGGAAAATGAACCATACCAAAGGCTTTGTATGTTTATCTTTATCCAAAAGGGAGTATTCAGAAAGCAGTTTGGAATATGATCTGTAATTGCTAATTCATCACAATAACTACAAAATATTCATGTTCCCAAGTGTATTTTGAACCCATTTTATTTTGGGTTATGCAAAGACAACTGTTTTAATGGTTTGAATTTAAATAAGTAAATTTTACTCAAGTTCCTAATATTAATGTCTGTACAGAAGATCTTCAAAAGAACAATGCAATATAATATTTATCATGAAGTTCAGTATAAACTGATAGATTCTCTCTTAATCTTGAAAACAAAGAAATCTGGACAATCATCCTGGAAATTGCCAGTTTAGGATAAGTGTTTTTCAAGAGAGATGGTGTAAGATGTAAAACTTGGGCTTATATTAGAATTAGAATTGGAGAAGATGGAATTTGCAGAACGCACTTCCGTAATATATTATACAGTGTGGATTTCAATATGCTTTCATTACCAACATTTTTATGGAAGAATGAAAAGTGTCCTTCTACTAGCAAGAGAGACGTAGGGTAAAGATAAACATTAGAATGGTGTCAAAGTAGTCAAAATATGTACTTCAATTTCATCATGTTATAAGATATTTCAGTTTGCTGCTCTACTGTTATTAGTTGTTGCCATTGGTTGCTGTGTAAGTTGACAGTTTTTTGTGTTTTGGAAAATAGGAGAATATTTTGATAGATGATTGAGATGTTTGTACCACATTATAGAGTATGAAACTTATAATAGCTTACATGTTTCATTTTTTCAAAACATGTGCGGATATGAAATCTGACATGGAAAAAGCATTGCTTTAGGGGAAAGAAAATCCCACCAAAACAGAAGGAGCTTGAACCAATGTATCAATATGATGTATATTGTGACCCTATTGGACAAAATATAACTAATCACGTGTAGTAATGTGAACAACAGTGATTACAAGTAGTACTGAACATTTAGACATTTCAATTATAATCTAAAGTTGGGTTTTGATTTTTATCTAGAAGAGCTGGAAAATACTTATTTTTTTATTTTATTTTTTAAAAAGAATCTAGCAAAATGAAAGCCAGAATTTAGATTCACTAATGTTCTACTTGGAAAAATTGCATAGTTATCTCCATTTTACACAGCTTGATGGTTTCCTTGACGTTAAGAAAATGACTGCCCAGAAGGGTAAAACTCATAAGCAAAAAAGAAGGCTATCTACACAGAAATAATAAATTTGCTTCCATTTTTACACAAATAATATGAATGTGGCCTCCGTTGGATAAGGCCCTCTTACATTAAGCAAGACGTTATCATTTCCTCCCTTGATCATGTTAATATCACTTATGCTTTTCATGATGTTTCTTTTCCTTTCCTTATTATTGAAAACAATGGTACAGGAATAATACTATATAATTTGCATGACAATTGCTCAGAATATGGTATAATTCAGTTCTCCCTTCACAATTGTTCTTAGGTTGGTCAGTCACCCTCCTGGCCATCTTCTTATGCATGGTGAGGGTTCCCTATTATTTTTTTCCAAACTACACATTGGTACATGATATGTGAACATGGCCATAACTTAAATTGGGCAAACATGTATATAAAATTCCAATGTGAGTAGTTGGAAATGGAGTATGTACATCCAACATGGATGCCCCTAACCCTAAGTCAAACATGCAACAAATATGCAACAACGGGACAGGAAAGCTGACTTAATTGTCCCTCTGTGCACTGCAAACCCAGTCAGTGTTTCAGATTTCTAACCTATGTTTTCAAACATAAGGTTTGTTATTTAGTTTTGTTAGAACAAGCGTAATACAGTTCAGAGACAGTTTGGTGCAGCGGTTAAAAATGCTGGATTAGAAGCCAGTAGACTATGAGTTCTAGTCCTGACTTAGGCATGAAAGTCAGCTGAGTAACTTGGGCCAGACACTCTCTCAGCCCTAGAGAGAAGGTACTGGCAAGCCACTTCCAAAAATGTTGCCATGAAAATTGCATGGACCTGTTCCTGTAATCACTAAGTCAGAGTTTACTTGATGGACCATAACAATAGCAACAACAGCAATGCAGTTTAGCTTGTTCCCTCTGAGAAATGGCAGAATGAAGATGGCTTCATGAAAAGCAGAGCTGACAACCGTGGCAGAATGAACAGCTGGTGAGTAGAGCGGCTCTTCGATAATTCCTCTCCAGACAAGGAGAGAGCTTGAGATCACCCACAAGTGCTCCAGAAATCTGCTCCTCATGAGGAGACCACAAGACAGCAGTTTCCAGCAAGTTTAGAGCTCTGGGAGATGAGGGAAGAGCCATCTTATTCAAACCGCAGTCGGGGCCTTTGAAAGGACACTAAGTTCACATAGAGTACATCCTTTTCTAATCACTTTTGGAAATTGTTTGTTAACTGCTTTTCATCTATTAGGAACCTTTGGATTGACAGGTTTTATAGCACCAAGTGAGTTTCCTTTAATCCTTGCGAAAGAAGTTTTAAATACAAGTTTAAGGACTTAAAAAACTTTGTTTTGGAATAAACAGCCAAACGTTGATTTTAGAAAGTTACAGATGGACTAAGGGTCCAGATAAATTTGAAATAAGATTTTGGAATTAATTATAAAGAATGTGTTGAGTTTCCTTTAATCCTTGCGAAAGAAGTTTTAAATACAAGTTTAAGGACTTAAAAAACTTTGTTTTGGAATAAACAGCCAAACGTTGATTTTAGAAAGTTACAGATGGACTAAGGGTCCAGATAAATTTGAAATAAGATTTTGGAATTAATTATAAAGAATGTGTCTGTTTTGAATTCTTTAAAAAAAAAAAAAAGATAAGACTTTAAAAATTGGTCACTAGAGGGAACTAGAAGGAACTAAAGATTACAATTAAATGAGAAGAACACTCAAACTCAACTTACAGAATGAAGCAAACTATTTTAACATTGGGCATATAGAAGACTATTTTTGAACAATTGACCCAGAAGTTAATTTTAAGAATGTCTGCCTCTGTAGATAGACTGTGTTTAAAAGATGTTAACAAGAACAAGTTTTACCTGACAAGATTGAGACTGATTTGAAAGTAGATTTAAAAATGACAGGCTACAAGAGACATGGAAAAAGATGTTACACTGGACATACAAAAGAAACTAGCTGATGTTTTAATAATTAAAAGGGATATAGAAATAACAAACCAAGAGAGTGACTTGGATAATCTTTCTATATTGGGTTTACGAAAGAAGCTTGTTAAAGTTTCAAAGAATTTTGTGAGAAGGGACAAATTAAAAATGAAATTAAAATGAAAAGAAATCAAGTTCTAGGACATTATTTGAAGGGACTAAAAATCAAGACTATATTGGGTTTACGAAAGAAGCTTGTTAAAGTTTCAAAGAATTTTGTGAGAAGGGACAAATTAAAAATGAAATTAAAATGAAAAGAAATCAAGTTCTAGGACATTATTTGAAGGGACTAAAAATCAAGATTGTTAGAAGTAAAAGGAAGGAATATAAAGTTGGTTTATTTGATCAAGGTTAAAATAGATACGTTGTTATCTCTGGTAATCCTTAATGGACTTTTGTTGACATCAGGACTGAAATGATGAGGCTTTATGGATTTGTTTATAGATAAGAGATAGGATATGGGAAGAAGAGATCATTTGTTATATTTTAAGAGAAAGTGATAAGTTACTAAAATTGTTTATACTTGTGATGAAGGGGGAAGTCACTTTATATATTTCTTTTTCTTTATGGATTTGTTTATAGATAAGAGATAGGATATGGGAAGAAGAGATCATTTGTTATATTTTAAGAGAAAGTGATAAGTTACTAAAATTGTTTATACTTGTGATGAAGGGGGAAGTCACTTTATATATTTCTTTTTCTTTTTCTTTACTATATTCTTATTTCTCTTTCTTCTTTTCTTGCCTGCACCTTCTATTTTTTTTCTTTTTCTTTTTCTTTTTCTTTTCTTTTTCTTTTTTTAGTCTGTATTAATGGTTATTTTTGTAATTGCAGTCTTTAATAAAATTAGTATTAAAAAAAAAGAATGATCTTAGAAAATTAACAGGGACAAGCTGAATCCGGGGGCGGGGGGGATGTAAAGGCACCTTATAAATCTGAAGTCCAGATTGAGAAACGTCCTGCTTATCGCAGAGCGAGTGGAATTATTTTTAAGGGTAGAAATGGTAGTATTTTGCCTCCTAGGGTCTTCTTATTCCTCTTGTCACCTAAAAAACCAGTATCAGGACTTTTTAGGCTTTCAAAAATTAGATCCATCCTCTTCTTGTGAACCTGCAACCTCCATTTATGTCACTTGTGGTCCTCCAGCTAGTCAGGAAGGCAAGTTGTGGCTACTAATCCTGGAAAGGTCTACAGCTATGGAAATGATTAGATAACGGAAGAAACTCCATTCTGGTCTTTAAATTGTGCTAAAACTGAAACACTAACCCTTTTGATTTTTAGATGATGTGCTAAAATGTATGTAGGTTGGATGTCTAAATTTTCCATAGTGGGAAACAAAGTATTTTTTGTAACACATTTCACTTTTATTCATTTTTTCATCTTGGAGCACATCTTGGTACAGCCAACCACACTCACAGAGAACCTAAAGACTGTAAGGTTAGCAGTTGCAGGCTTCCTTACCGCACTGTCTTGAGATGCAGTGATAAAATGAAAAGGGCCATTCAAGTCAGAGTAGTAAAGGAGAAACAAAAACAAAAAAGCATTATTGGTTCAGGTCCTATTGGAGATGCTCATCTGTAACACTGGTAACATTGTTGACTACCAGAGAAGCACTCATAATGGTAGAAGTAGTTTACAATCAATTTCATACGGAATCATACGGAAAAGCAATGCATTCTGGTCACCAATAGGTACCCACTGCAGTAATTTAATGATAGTACAGTAATGGCTCTTTTTGGCTCTTCCTCATGATTGTGGCAAAAACTGCAGATTTCACTTCATGTTCTGCATGAACAAGCAGCATGATTCTGAACTTAGTTGTGTTCCTGCACATGCTAGTCCAGGGACAACTCTGTAATTTGAAAAAGCTGTAGCTAATGCTTGCATTAATTAGCTTGCTATATTTTTTAACATTTGAATAAATCAGTCATGCTTGATAATGATGATATTTTTTCAATTATGGTTCAGGGGAAGCATATTTGATTTAGCTCAGACCTCTGGATGGTTGCTTTTTATAAAGCTGCTTCTTGAGCACCTTGAGTATCTGTGACTTTGGGTAGTATTTCCTGCTAGGACTGAAGGGGGTAAAAAATGGAGAGCAGGGACCTAAATTAAACTGCTTTTCCATTCTTTTAGCTCCAGGTTCTTAAAATAACAGGACGAGTTTCCAGTGCACATATGTGCAATGCATTGATTTGCTGTTTCCTTCTTGTTCCTTTTTCCAGTGGTCTTTCTTTGCTTATTCTCAAGCAGCAAGGAATTAGATCTCTCCAGTTCCAGTCCCTGAAGCACATCAGTGCTGGGAACGTCTACATAACCGACAACAGTAACTTGTGCTACTATCATACCATCAACTGGACCAGCCTCTTCAGCTCTCCCAACCAGAAGACCGTCATCCACAGAAATAAGGGGGCTGAGAACTGCAGTAAGTATTGTGGTCATGGTTGATGAACTAAATTTCTCTCTGTGTGTGTGTGGTGTTTAAAATTAGAAAACAGAGATTTGCTACCTTGTGAAACAAGAAATCATCTAGAACACTTGCACAGATGTTCAATATTATATTTGTGGGATGTATTGGAAGTTCCTTAATAAACTTCCTTTTTTAAAAATATTCATGGGGATGAGGACAGTGAAGCCTGGTTTGCTGAATAAATGTTCAATGCTTTGTAAGAGCACTTCCTAAGAACAGGGATTTATATTCCGATCAGCCTTGATTAATAGCTTTCCTGTCCCCTTTGAAAACAGACTTTACCTGAATGCAGAGCAGAGATCTTCCTCTGCCTGGTGGCCACCCGAACTGCTACAGCGCATGTGAAGGAGGATGCTGCATGTATTATGTGGCTCTGAAATCTTTGCCGTCACTTTCACACCGTCACAAAACCTGTTTTGCTCTGTTTTAAATGGGGAGAAGTAAAGAAGGAGGCCTTTTCTCCTAACTCTCTGCCCAGTGCAAATATAATTTCCATTTCCCTAAAAAGTGCCCTGAAAGTATTAAGCATTTTTTCAGGTCCACTCCAAAGACTAAGAAAGTTCTTCCCCGTCTTCACCCATTTGCTCTTACTTCATTTATTTTGGAAGCAGCTGCTCAAAATGATTTACAAAATGCAAAAGAAATAAGTACAATAAAATCTATGAACAGCTAAAGGCAGCAATTAAACACACACTTATACACACAAGGCTAGCCCTTCCTAATAGAGTCAAATCCTCATTTCCAAACAGGACAGATGACAAGTAACGGTGCATAAGCTCTGTGGGGCCACTGACATCTGCAGAGCTACCATGGGGTGAGCCCCTTCCAGTCTTAAAACGCCAGAGGAACACAGCAGCTGATCTCCCCAGAGATCCAGGGGAAGGGTCACAAAGAAAGCAGGTAGGGCTTTCAGAGTGACAATCAGGCCCCTGAACTGTACTCGGAAATGAACTGGTAGCCAGTGTAGCCAATTTTATAAGATTCTGGCCACTCCAAGAAAATGGCTGTGCCCTTAGTGAATAATGCCAGCAATACTACTGCTTGCCAGTTAAGGCTTAAGATTGTCAGTCACTCTGAGCCTGGACTGGGCGGCACAAGAAGCAGTGAGTGACCCGCTACAGGCCTTCTGATGCCAGCCGTGTATATGCATAAGTCCCAGGGAACCCTGCTAGGGCACCTTCAGCCAAGCAGCTGCCTCCACATTCTAGGTGTTAGCACCTGCTATAATTATAGTCTTTGCCACTGAAGGATTAGAAGGGTTATTCATTGTAGCCTCGATGGGATCTACACTGGGGATTCACAGATCCTTTTCTTAAATTAGCTGCCTACTGCTTTGCTGGAAACAGTTGTTCAAAGGGCACAGTATAGGGGTGAATGCTTCAGAGATTTTCACCAGAAATAGAGAGACAACATTTTATTTGCCAGCACATAGATACAATAAGGCCTTATTCTTTTTTTTGATGATATGATCCTCCTCACTGTCCTTTGACCTGCCTCAGATCTGCAATTTCCTCTCTGATTTCTGTGCAGATTCTCTGCCTCTAAGATAATGGCCTGGACAGTTTGGGAGTGGGGATGGGTTAGAAATTTGGAATGTTAATTTCAAGGTACAAGAGAGCAACTTTTTATACACTAAGGATTCTCATCTATGGCAGTTTCCCATTAACATTGCAATAGCATCTTTTGGGCTTAGGGGTGGAGAAAGGGGTTAGTTTCAGGGTCTACAGTTTCCCAACTGTTTGAAACCTTTCATCCCATTTCTGCTTGAGTTTGAAAATCTTTTATTGAAAAGTCAGCATATTTTTGTATTACTGGTTTTGTAGTATACATAACACTGCCCTCCAGTGTTATTTTCGCACCAATCCTGTAAGGCAGATTAGGCAGGGAAATAGTGACCTAGTGACCTCCAGCTTTGGCTGATCTGATCTCCTGAACACTATTTCATCATCAGCGCCATTCCTTACTATGGCCAAGGGCCAGAGATGTTAAACATTGGTAAAGATAGTAAAATAAAATAGAATAAAACATTAGATGACATTGAGGTGGTCAACAAATAAACTGAGTTATAACTATGGGAGACCTTGCATTAGTTAGTGCCTTATTTTCACTGCTGCTGTACAGTATTTTGCTACAATCTGGGTTATAGGGGATTTGAAGTCTTATAAAAGTAAACTCATTTAAAAGTTATCTGTTCTTCTTATTTACATCTGAAGAAGTGGACAGGGTTATCCGTGGAGTAGGCTTTGCCATCTGTGGGCTTGGCCAGTGCTCCTTCTGGCTAGTAAGTGCTACCAGAGAAATGATGAAGAACTGGGAGATGGTGAGTGTGTGGTTGAGAGAGGGGTTGATGAATTTACCTTGAAAGATGATATGGTATGCCTCCTCCTCAAGAAGCCCTCACTCAAGTTATCCATTTTAGATAACTGTTGTCCCTCATCCAACCTCCCCCCTTTTAAGTATGTTTTAGAGGAGGTGGAGGATAGCAACCACAGAAATCATGGATGAAATGGATTATCTGGATCTCTTCTAGTCAGGGTTCAGGTCTGGGCATGGGACATAAACTGTATTGGTTGCACCCAATTCAAGATGTTAGTTATCATGTGCATGTTCCTTTATCTCTTGAGTTTCTTTATATTCGGGAGCATCTATTCCAGGTGGAGTCTGCCCACCCAATACATTTTTGCCAAGAGGGAGCACTGGAGGTTTTTGCCCCCTTGGGGGAGGGGCCTGGATAATGACCTTTTTGGTTACAGCCCCTCACTTTGGGACAGCTTGCCTTCTGAGGTTAGAATGGTCCCTGCTCTGGGTTCACAACCCAGAAGAAACTTCTTTGTTTGTTTTTATTTTTTTTCTTCCGTTGAGCTAGCTATTTTCCCCTGAGCTAGCTATTTTTCCCTGTGGGAGGACATACAGCAGGAGAATTGTCCAATGAGAGGACATGCTATCCTCTGTCTGGACTGAGTATCTTGCAAGCTATTGCAAAACTATCTCAATCCAGAGGGGATTTGTAAATATTATATTACTTACTTCTCCATGAACTGGATGGAAAATTTTATGACACTATCTTCATTCAACTCTAGTTTGATTGAAAATTCCAAGTACTGAATGTGGGAACTGATGTATGCTAAGTGTTTGACCTACCTCTGAACATGCAGTTTTTCCTTGTTACGAATTGTGCAATTCAGTGATCTGAAAAGAAATAACTTGAATTTGTGGAGAAAAAAAAATCCATCAATACTTTTTGCTTCCTTGTTTTAATTAAACTTCAAAGTGCAAAGTTTCCACAGGTGGGCCATTTGGATGTAAATTAATTTTGCAAATCCATACCTTGACCCTATTCTTTTAAAGGAAGAAAATCTGGATAGGGGAATTTCATCATGAATACTCTTTAGCATTTCTTTGGTGTCAACAATATTGTGCATGGGAGACAATACAAAATAAGCTCAGTACTCAGTAGGAAGATTTCTCAATTGGAGGACTCATTAGATGAGTCTAAAGTTAGCTTCCATCAAAGCTTTTCCCAGGTAGTACAAGAAAACTCACAATTACTTGCTGTGTCTAGCTAATAATCTTTTCATGAATTCTCTCTTGATTTATAAATTTGTGTACATATGCTTCATTTTTATGTACTGAAAGAGATGGTCCCAACTCTAAGCAAAATAAACTATGATTCAGAAAAATATGTAGCTTTCTCCTCAACTATTGGGAAAAATATATTAGTGTTAATAGGGACGAATTAAACAGGACCTAAGTGCTTTGTAGTGCTTCATCATTTCTGTTTTGGAGAACCTCAGCATTTTCATAAACACCTTCAGTCAGTTAAATTTATAAATCTTTGCAGCCTAATTGACTGTATTCCTGCTTGTTTAATTAACTGAGTAATATTGTTGTGGAACTTCCTTTAATAAAAGAGACTGACAAGCTAAGCTAAGATTTTTAATGAAATATTATTCACAGGTTTATGTAGGGGTTTTTGTGTGTGTGTGGTCTTACTTGGGGAAAAAAGTTTCCCTAGTTTAATTTTCAGATGTATTTAAAGAACTTCATAGAAACATTGTAAAAAAGTATATAAGATATTGCTATATGTACAAAACATTTTATAATTTAGGCTATTAAACAATTCTGTGGCAGTAACAACACAATCCAATCAGAGGAAACTGATTTCACTAGGGCTTACTCCTGAGTCTCCAAATAAGAACTTGGATCCTTGAAGTCTACTTGAAATTATTTAGATTGTTGTGGGTATTATCTCACCATTTTTACAAACAATATGTGGCACAATGTTCTCCTAATGTAAGCTAGCTAACAGTGAATGTAAATGGCCTAAGGTTATTTATCTGTGTGGGTGGGGAGTTGCATTTCTGCTTTCCCAAGATACCTAATACAGTCTTCTAAATGTGACAATTTGCTAAATTAGGAGAGAGTTTTTTTCTTAAGCTATACAACCCAAGCCTTATCCACTCTCCTGTTAGGCATTTTCTGCTGTTTTGTGCTTCACTCCCTTGGCTGGAACAGAATTCATTGTGGTGCCCACTTTGAATACAGCAAAGTTTCTGCCCACATCCATTAGAGTAGATGAGAAACATATACTGTATGAAGTATTTAATATTTGTAATGATCCGATCCATATGTGACTCTTTTATGTATGCATGTATGTCTGTGCATATTGCCTCATCTAGCAATCATAGGTGGCTTCATCATAAAACTAGTACACATTATGCAAAGTCATAAACACATCACAAATAAAGACATCAACCAAAAAGTTTCCAATTCCCTAGGTGAGCAATTACATCTTCCACTTCACAGACTCTCTGAAAAAGTACTATCTTCCTAAATGATTGATAGGGAAGAAAGCAGTGAGGCTATTCTAGAGAAAGGGACCTATGGTGAAGAATGCCACCCTGTGCTTCTGCACCCTTAACATCTCACGGGAAATCCACAGCATAACATCTCAG